CTGGGAAGAAGCAACTTGTCCTCTCTGCCTGGAGTATTTCACAGCCCCTGTCACTCTGGAGTGTGGGCACAATTTCTGCCAGGCCTGCATCAGCAGGTGCTGGGAGGGACCAGGCTCAGCTGCCTCCTGCCCCCCGTAAGGCCCCCTCCGGCCCAACAGGCAGCTGGCCAACATGGTAGAACTAGTCAAGCGGCTGAGCTTGCAGGCACCAAAAGGAGCAGGAGTGGATGGGGTGTGCGGGGAGCACCAGGAGGCTCTCAAGCTGTTCTGTGAAGAGGATCAGACTTCGATCTGTGTGATTTGCCATCTGTCCCAGGCTCACCGTGCTCACAGGGTGGTGCCCATAAGGGAAGCAGCCCAGGAGTACCAGGTAGGGAACTGCTGCCACGTTGAAACTACTGTCTATTTGAGAGTTTGTCTGCCTGCATCTGTGTGTTGGCCTGTTTGTTCAAGCACTCCTCCTAAACAGTGAGAGCCAGAGCGGCCGTGGAGAGACACCTCACCTGGTCCCAACCTGCTGCGGTGACAAGAGGGCTGGGGTAGTGCTCTCCCCAACCTATACCCTGACCCCCTCCTGCCCAGCCCCACCCCAGAGCAATGACTGAAATGAAGCCTGGACATTCTCACATTATTCTCCAAAGTATAAAAAATGAGTCAGAACCTGAACAATGCTCTAGTAATAAAATCAGCGCTCTAGCTACAGAGGCAAAATCTCAGCTCTTTAAAGATGCGGGATGTGGGAAACTTTCCCTAGAGATGCTGAGTCCTTCTGGAACCCTGCTTGGTTTAAAAGCTCTTTTTTCCCAGTGGAGGCTGTGTCGTTCTCAGGGATGCTTGGCTCAGATGAGCTGGCACTGACTTATCTCAGCCAATTGCCCTCAGCTTGGAAAAGGGGAAGTTCCAGGCTCTTGTTGCCATTATGGATTTGTCTAACCGAATGTGTTGTTGTTGCCTTGATTTGCATCACAGTCGCCCTTAGAAACCCCAGAGGAGATCTGGGCCCTGCACAAAACACAGCGGGGGACATGTCCTGCCCTGAGCAGGTTACAGCCTAAATAAGACAAACAAAGGCAAGGAGGGAAACAGGCACTGAATGATGCCCAGGGTCAGTCAACAGGTCAGTGGTACAAATGGGATTAAAACTGAGATTTTTCCTAGAGTCAGTCCAGGTCCCTACCCGATAGGCCATGGTGCTACCTCAGCAACAGCCCCACAGTGATGAATTATGGCCCTTAGGAGGGAAAGACGTGTTGATAAAGGCCCAGCAGGTTTCCCACTGGGATGCCGAACTCCTGGGCTGCTCCAGATGCTGCGGCCGGCACTAGAGGAGGTCTCTGAGCTGGATGCTGTGTGGGGTTCCAAGTGCCTTGAATCCATGCACAACAGGGCTCCAGGCAGTGCAGGGCCATGCCAGGTACCACTGGGATCAGACTAGATTGGAGCAAAACTACCTCCAGGCTGGAGCTGCCCGGTGCCGGTCTGACCTGTGCCAGTGGGTACCTGGGCACAGACCAGCCAGTGTGGTTCTGTTAGTCCCACCATGCAGCCTGTGGGAATCTCCCAGAATGCACTGCTGCCGGGAGCTGTACCAGGAACTGGGGCAGCAGGTACCTGCCCAGAGGGTGTTGCCACTGCAGGGCAGCACTGGGGCAAACCCCAACCATCCTGAACAGACATCAGCCTGTTTAATTAGGGAGTCACTGATGCATCCCCAGAGCACAGGACATGCCCACGCCTGCCTGTCGGGCCCTCCTTCAACTCTTGGGCGGCCTCTATGGGCCTGTCCCTGCCTCTGTCAGACCATCCCCACCTACATCATTCTGTGTGGAGGTGCCGCCTGCTCTTGCCCCCACCCTCACAGGTGTCCTGCTGCTGCCTCAGTCTCCTCCTGTCCCTTTCTCGCCAGACAAAGCCTCGGCCAGAGCTGAGTCCCCACCAGGCAGGGACAGAGCCCCACAGAACTGGACTGTTCAGGGCCCCGCAGGCCCTCAGATGAGGAGGGGGAGACAAAGGGGCAACTGCCCTGGGGCCTGGTGATTCATAAGGGCACTGAAGCAGCCATGGCAACCAGAGCCCTAGGCTCTTTAACTCACTGCTGCAGCGCTTTGGGTGGCTGAGGGGGATGAGGAGGAAGGGACACATGGCTCAGTGCACTTCAGGCAGCGCTGAGGGTCGACTGTCCCCCACCCTGTCCCTTCTGCCCTGGGCCCTGGCCCTTCCCCGCCGGGCCCTGGCCCCCCCCCGCCACTTTGCCCAGGCTCCCAGTTATGCTGTTGGACCCCTGAGCCTCCCTCTATCTCATGGAGCTTGCCCTGGTGCTTAGTCCAACTCTGTCCTACCAGGGCAGTCCCCAGGCCTCAGGGCTGAACTCCCAGCCCCTGTTTAAACCCAGGTGGCTCCTGGGATTTATTTAAATCCTCTCACACAGAGATGTGTTGATTCACCACCAGTGGGAGTCCTGGCCTGTTACACACTGTGCCACCAGTTAGGGTTGCCAGGTATCCGGTATTCTACCAGACAGTCCAGTTTTTGGGCCCTCTGTCTGGTAAAAAAAAATCCAGAAAATACCAGACATATGCAATGTCCGGAATTTTCTGGTTTTCTGGCTGGGCGCCCAACAGAAGCCTGGCGGGGGCTGGAGGAGTGGCTGGGAGGCGGGGCGCAATCGGCACTGGGATCCTCTGGTTGAGAGTGACACCTTCGGGAGGAGGAGAAACCCTGTCCCTGCTCCTGAGTGCATTGTGGAGCCGCAGCAGGACTCACTCGCACTTCACCGAGACTGTGCACAGGACTGACAGCACCCTGGGATCTGCATGTGCTCGGGTCAGTCCTGCTCCCCGCCGGCTGATTTGCTCCCTCCTCCCCCACTTCCCGACCAGCTCTGCTGCCCCCGACCTCCTCCCAGCCACCCCTGGTTCCTGCCAGCCGGTTCTCCTCCTCCCGATCTCCTCCGGCCAGCCGCGCTAGCTCTGTCCCCTCCCTTTCTCCCCGGGCCAGCCACTCTGCCCCAATCTCTCCTTGGGGGCCCTGATGTCACATAGTGATTGGGACCAACAGTCCCTGGGGCTGTGAGTGGGAAAACTCCCCATTCCCCACCCCTCTCAACCTCACAATGAAACCTCCCAGCTCATTTCTGTTTCTCCAGGAAAAAATCCAGGCCCATTTGAAGACTCTGAGAGAAGAGAGAGAAAAGCTGCTGGGAAGGAAAGTGACGGGACAGGGGAGAAGCCAGGAGTATCTGGTAGGTGCCTGTGGCTATGGACCGGCAGGGACAGGCAGTGGGAGGGCTGTTTGGAGGCAGGCTTCTGTGTGGCCTTGATGAGGGGGGGATGGTGAGTTTCTCCATGACCATGGATTGGTGGGTTAGATCCATGTGCAGACAGGTCCTGAGATTCCATGTCAGGGGATGCGTTAATGTCCAGCCCTTGTGGCTTTCCCAGAAATCCTCCCCCAGTGACCTGGCTGCTGTATTTGATCATTTTTTGCATTACATTGTTTGTTTCTTTTTTCTCTACTGGTATCTCTGTCAGGGTGGTGCTGAGCATTGTTTCCAGTAAACTGAGTGCCTGGGAGGCAGCTCGGGAGAGATTTGGATGCTGCCCAGCTGATTAGCAGAATGCCCAGGTTTAGATTTTGTTTCTATTGGTGGTGCACATATGCACATACTTTGGTGCCCAGGCAAATTTATTCCATACTTGGGTGGAGAAGATTAAGGGGAAACATCAGTGCCTGCTCATTTCCTGCACTAACATCTTTGTTCCTTTTTAATCCCATAGTGTCTCTGTCAGGGTGGGACTAAGTCCTGCCTCCTGCGGCTTGGGGTCTGAATTCCCAGAGCCAGTGAATTCTATATGAAAACAGGGAAATGGCTGATCAAGGGCATAGATGGAGGCCAGGGCCCTTTCAAGGGGAGCTGAGTGCGCAGCAGGGAGAACTTGGAAAATCCTCAGATTTCTGGCATTTGACTCCACCCTGTGGACCCTAGGCAGAGGCATCTCTCCTAGCTTCCCCTTTGGCCCCTCTGTCCCTCTGAAAGAGACGGTTCCCTGCCTTTTATGGGCACCATGGGTGTGTCTAGACTACATGCCTCTGTCGCCAGAGGCATGTAGATTAGGCTACCCGGCATAGGGAAATGAAGCGGTGATTTAAATATTCACCGCTTCATTTAAATTTAAATGGCTGCCATGCTGTGCCAATCATCTGTTTGTCGGCTCAGCACGCTAGTCTGGATGCTCTGCGGTCAACATCAAAGGCATTTGTCGACCTCCCCAGTAAACCTCATCCCATGAGGCATACTGGGGCGGTCGACAAATGCCTTTGATATCGACCGCGGAGTGTCCAGACTAGCGTGCTGAGCCGACAAACAGATGATTGGCACAGCATGGCAGCCATTTAAATTTAAATGAAGCGGTGAATATTTAAATCACCGCTTCATTTCCCTATGCCGGGTAGCCTAATCTACATGCCTCTGGCGACAGAGGCATGTAGTCTAGACACACCCATGGTGCCCATAAAAGGCAGGGAACCGTCTCTTTCAGAGGGACAGAGGGGCCAAAGGGGAAGCTAGGAGAGATGCCTCTGCCTAGGGTCCACAGGGTGGAGTCAAATGCCAGAAATCTGAGGATTTTCCAAGTTCTCCCTGCTGCGCACTCAGCTCCCCTTGAAAGGGCCCTGGCCTCCATCTATGCCATTGATCAGCCATTTCCCTGTTTTCATATAGATACAGACACAAGCTGAGAGGCAGAAAGTTGTGGCTGAATTTCAGCAGCTGCGGCAGTTCCTGGATGAACAAGAGCAACTCCTGCTGGCCCAGCTGGAGAAGCTGGATGAGGAGATTGGGAGGCTCCAGACTGAAACTCTCAGGAAACTCTCTGGGCAGATCTCCTGTGTCAGCGAGTGGATCAGTGAGCTGGAGGGAAAGTGTCAGAAGCCAGCGAGTGAATTCCTCCAGGTGAGACTGAGGGAGAAACGTCCCAGACCCCACACAGAGAAGGGAGGCTCCAGAATCACAAATGCTGGGGTCCAGACATTAGATCCAGGTGTTACTCGGAGTGTGCATTGCTGCCATGTGAGTGACTGTTGTGCTTTGCAGAGTTACAGGCACAGAGGCATTAGAGATGGCAAATCACCATTCGCTCAGGGGATCCATGGCCCTGGGCCAGGGCAGGGACCCTTGTTTCCATGTTTGTAAAATCCCTTCCCTTGGGTCCCATGTGCGTCCAATGGAACTGAGACTTTCTTCTGTCTCTCCCCTCTAGGATGTCAGAAGCACCTTGAGCAGGTATGTGGTTCTCACTAAGAGCTTGGAGCTGATGTTGGCACCATAACTCCCCAGGGCTCTGCAGCCAAATGTGAGGGGAAGGTACCAGGCTGGGCACAAATCTCTGATCAGCTTCAGCCTGCGGCTCTCCCCCTGGCACAGCAGACTCTGGAATTCCCCATTTAGGGCACAGTCTGACCTTGAGGCTACGTCTACACTGGCGCATTCTCATGCAAAAACGCTTTTGCGGAAGAGTTCTTCTGCAAAAACTCTTCCAGAAGAGAGAGTCTACACTGGCATGTGCTTTTGCATAAGAGCATCCATGCCAGTGTAGACACTCTCTTGTGCAAGAAAGCTCTGATGGCCATATTAACCATAGGGCTTTCTAGCACAAGAAATTCATGTTGCTTGGCTACACTGGCCTCTTGCGCAAGAACAGTTGTGCAAAAGGGCTTATTCCTGAGCAGGAGTGTCAGAGTTCTAGTTGAAGAAGCCCTGATTTCATACATTAGAACATCAGTTTACTTGCACAAGAACACGCGGCCAGTGTAGACAGGCAACAAGTTTTTGCGCAAAAGCGGCTGCTTTTGTGCAAGATCGTGCCAGTGTAGACACAGCCTGAGTGTTTCCTGGAGCTTTCACCTCCCTGGGGACTGGCTGCTCAGGGCTGTGGGGAGGGACATGGGCCTGTCACTGCTGGGCACTGGGCACATTCAGCCCAGGGCAGCAGGGATCCAGAGTCTGTCCCACCTGAGGTCTGTTTGGAGGCGTGCTTGGAAGGAGCTGGGGAAGGGGGAGCTGGTGTGTCTGTCTAGTCCCTAGTGGGCAGATTCCTACAGCCCTTCCCCTGGGAACCTCCTGTCCCTCAGCGCCTGGAGGCCAAGGAGTGAGCTGGCCATGGAGACTCAATTTCCCTTTTGTCCCCCAGATGGGGCCAGAGCTGCAGACTGTTCATGGGACCTTTGAGGTGACGTTGCAGGGCCAAGGGCTGCGCTGCCCCTGCTCTCGGGCTGGGAGAACTGGAGGATTCTAACTCCAGGCTCCACAGATCAGCAACTCACTGGCCAGAGCTGGAGAACTGAGTCACTCGGTGCAGTGTCACCATGTGACGTTGTCTCTCTCCAGGTGTGAGACGGGGCCGTTTCAGCCACCAGAGGAGATTTCTCTTGAACTGGACGAGCGAGTCAGGGGTTTCTCCCAGCAAACGACTGCGCTGTCGGAGACGCTGAGGGAGTTCACAGGTACCAAAAAGGGACGGGAGAGGGGAAGAGTCAGCGAAACGTCTGAGGCCATGGAGGAAGACAGATGCTGGTCATTTGGCTCCTAGTTAGACGATGCTTCTGTTTAATTGTGGGGTGAGAATGGTGCCCACTTGCCATCCCAGACATTCAGGGTGATTAACTGAACCTTATTTGCAGGGCTCGCCAAGCAGTGGAGAGCCCCACTCGCCAGCCATGCAGAAGTGCGCGCTGTGCATGTGCTGACTGCGCTGCACGGCCGCGCCAGGCCAAAATCTACCCACCATGAGCGAGTAGATTACATTAATTGTTGAGCCCTGCTTATTTGTTCCAAAAGCCACTTTGTAATTACAGTGACATTAGAGCTCAAAATGGCTGACACACAGACAGAAAGATGCCCAGCTCCGTGCTGGTCTCTGCAGAGACGCTGAGTACACAGACCCCACGGCTCACAGGTAGAGCCAGGAGTTTGCAAAATCTGAACCTCCTGCTCGTGTCAAAGGGACCCTTGGCAGGATCTGGGCCTAGGCTGTGACAAATGTCAGGAAGTGAATGACCCAAACGCAGTGAAGTCTGCAGGGCGGGGAACTGGGGGGGGAAGTTGAGGAGAAAGCGAATCTCTTCACAGATTGTCCTGGGGCAGCTGTGAGGCTGCAGGGACGTTGGTTCCTTTGCTGGGAGAGGCCTGAGTGAGAGAGGAAATAGGAGGCTTCAGACCTTTTTACATTAAATACCTGAGGGTACGTCAATACTGCTGGACGTAGCCTAATTAAGCTACACAACTTCCACTGTGTTATCTGCCTAGCTGCAGTCGTAGTAGCTTAAATTGGTTTTTGGCGTGAAGAGAAGAGCACTGTCCCTCCATCTTCCCTTACTCCTTGCGAAATGAGGGCTACCAGCACCAAGAGAAGCACCTCTCAATGCGATTAGCTATCTTAACTTGACCGCTAATATGAACCCAGGGAGATCGACAGCAGCAGCCTTGATCTTCTTTGCAGTGTAGGCTACTCAAGTGTGTCTCTGCTGTAATGAAAACCCAGGTCTGTGCGTTAGGATTGGGGATGTTGTGGGCAATATGGACTCCTGAATCTCCCCTCTCTTCTCCCTTCCCCCACCAGACACGCTGCCCTCTGCACTGGACAGAGGAAGAGGACCTTTTAGACAGGGTGAGGTTTCAAGTGGAGACTGAAAACATCTTCCTGAGCTTGTAGCTCAAGGCACCAACCAAACCCCCAGTGACCACGACAGGCAGAGCCCCAAACCTGCCCACTGAGTGATGAGGAGCCCCAGGGGCACTGGATCAGAAGGATGAAGGGCCATGTCCTGCCCCCTTTAAGAAATGGGGTGGTCGGACCCTCCCCACACTTTTTACTATGGGCACAGGTTGCGGGCAGGACGCTTTGCAGGTGGGGGCTGCGCTTTGTGTAGGGGCAGCTGATCAGCACAGCCCCTTCTTGGGCACCCCACCCGAGATCCTCTTCCCCAAAAGCCCTGTCCCAGTCAGGCCAGAAGCCAGAGCTGGGCCCCCCCCTTTGAGCCTGGCTGCCCTGTAGAGCCCTGGACCCTCCACCTGCCCTGGGGGTGACTAATGCCCAGGCCCTGCTCTCTGGGGTGAGGCGGCTCTTCCCCCACGTTGCACCCTCCCCTCTGTGCCCTGGACTGGGAGTGGAGGCTGCAGCAGGGGAGGGAGTTTCCCTCTGGGGTTTCAAGCTCCTCTGGGGTTTCAACCTGCCTCCTCTGTCCCCCCCCCCCCCCCCCCCACCGACACCCCCCCCCCCCTGGTGCTCTCTGGGGTGAGGCGGCTCTTCCCCCACGTTGCACCCCCCCCTCCGGGCCCTGGGCTGGGAGTGGAGGCTGCAGCAGGGGAGGGAGTTTCCCTCTGGGGTTTCAAGCTCCTCTGGGGTTTCAACCTGCCTCCTCTGTCCCCCCCCCCTCCACACCCTGAACCCTCCTGCTCTGGGCCTGACCCTTGGGACAGAGCAGCCCGAGTTGGGGGGCAGGAGGCTGCACACAAATGAGAAGCTAATGAAGCAGGTCCCATTGTCCAGGCTGAGGTGCTGCAGTGACAGCTTGTCTCCCTCTCAGGGCCCAGGACAGAGGCAGATCCCTGGGGCCCAGGCCTGTCCCAGCCAGAACAGGACTGCTGGGTAGGGTGAGAAATGGCCCCAGCCACCCCCAGGGCTGAGCTCTGCCCCTCACGCTCTGATTCTCGCTCCCCAGCAACTGTGACTCTGGATCCAGACACGGCTCATCCCAACCTAGTCCTGTCTGAGGATCAGAAACATGTGAGACGGGAACATACCCGGAAGCCACTGCCCAACAACCCTGAGAGATTTGACTCTGTGTATTGTGTGCTGGGACATGAGGGATTCACCTCTGGGAGACATTGCTGGGAGGTGGACATGGAGGTGGGGGGTGGACAATGCTGGGCTGTGGGGGTGGCCAGGGAATCTGTGGGGAGGAAGGGAGGGATCAGCCTTAGCCCTGAGGGGGGGATCTGGGCTGTGCATTGGGGCTGGGATCAGTTCCAGGCTCTCACCTCCCCTGAGACTCCCCTGCCCCTAAGCGCCCCCTGTAGGATCCGGGTTTGTCTGGATTGTGACTGGGGACAGGTGACATTTATCGATGCTGGTGCCGAAGCCCCAATCTTCACTTTCCCACCAGGCTCCCTCCCTGGGGAGAGAATCCGACCCTGGCTGGGGGTGTGGACAGACTCCCCACTCAGCCTGTGCCCCTCAAATCAGCCTCTCTGACCTCACACACCCAGTCTCTGTGACTCTGGAGGACTCTCCTGTACCCAGCCCCTGGCTTCTCATCTCCATGATGCCTGAAAGCTCCTCCACCTCCCTCCCTGCAGCCCCAGGAATGGGAGGGGGAAGGAAAAAAATCCCTGGGGCTGTGCATACAGAGGGGCAGGGGAAGAACTAACAGCTGGGCTGGGGACAGGCAGAGGTTGGGGTGGGAGGACACAGAATTAACCAATCAGGATTTGGAGGGTTGGGGAGAAGCTGGAAGCTGCGTAGCAGCAGGGAACGATTTGTACCAGTCTGTGTTCTAAGATCTCATTGGGGTCTCCAGCCAGAGCTCCTGCCACAGGAGCCAAAGTCTCCTTCCCCTGTGACTGTGGGGTAGCCAGCAACTCTTGTCACCAGTGTCCCTCTAAGATTTTCTGTCCCTGAGCAGAGTGATTTTGGCCTTGTGCATCAATACTAAGGTCATAGGCACTTGTCGGGACGTGTACCATGAAGTTTCATATTTAACCATGAGTCTTATTACTTCTGTACAAATAACTTTTGAATAAATGTTATTCATTTCTATTGGATATGAAACAACTTTCAGCCTGTCTCCCTGAGTCCATATGGATATTTCCCTTAATATGCAACGAGGAGTCCTGTGGCACCTTATAGAATAACAGAAGTATTGGAGCATAAGCTTTCGTGGGCAAAGACCCACTTCGTCAGGTGCATGTCTGTCCCTTAATATGGACGGTTCATTAAAGTTCCTTTAAACACTGGTATTTGATTTCCTAAACTGGGACATGTTCCAAAACAAAACAAAACATATCACTTTTGTCTAAGCCCCACATGCACCACACAATGGAAATCTCAGTTTCCTCTGCCCCTGTTGAGGGCTTACATTAATTCTGGCCGCTATCCAAGGGAACGTCTACACTGCAGAGCTATTTCGGGATCCTGGAAGTATTTCAAAATAGCTACTCTGCATCTATTGAAGCAGCCTGTTATTTCAAAATAATGGGCAGCTTATTCCAACGTCCTGGTAACCCTCATTCCACGAGGCTTAAGGGGCATTTTGGAATAATGAATTATTTCAAAATTTGATACTGTGTAGACAGCGCCAAATTATGAAATAAGCTATTTTGAAATACAGGCAGTCCCCGGGTTACATGGATCCGACTTACATCGGATCCCTACTTACAAACGGGGTGAGGCAACCCCGCACTAGCTGCTTCCCCCCAGCAGACCAGGGAGACGCGGAGCAGCTTTTCTCAGCAGACACCTCAGCTTGCGAATAAAGGACTGAGGGAAGTGAGGTGTGGGAGAATAAAATTGAGCTCTGGAGAAATGTTTGGCTAGAGTTTCCCCTACAATATGTACCAGTTCCGACTTACATACAAATTCAACTTAAGAACAAACCTACAGTCCCTATCTTGTATGTAACCTGGGGACTGCCTGTAGCATCAAAATAAGCTACACAATTTGCTTAGCACATATTGCATAGCTTATTTAAAGTTAAGGATGCTGTGTAGACACACCGTAAATGTTTACAGGAAATCTATAATGTGGTCCAGACATTTGTCTTTAAAACTGCTTTTCATTTTACATAATACTGATCTATAATGCAAACATAACAGCACCTCCCACGGTGATCCAAAAACTCCTCTGATACAATGTAAGAGCAGTGGTGTTGGGGAAATCTCACTCCCCTGGGGTACAGAGTCCCCAGAAGGGTCCGAGGCTGGAGGTCAAAGCAGTGAGGCAGGAGAGAAATCTAGAAGGAAAACTTTATTATGCATCCATGCAGGCTGACCGCTACCAGAGTGAGAGCAGCAGCAGCCCTGAGAGACAGGTTTAGGGATCCTTTATACAGTATGCTCAGACAGTTTAGTTGTTGATTATTCTCTTTAACATATCAAAGTCTCAGCAGAAGTACTCTGAGAGGTTTCTGTTTACACCAAGTATGCTAGAAGTAAGTTTACAGTACCAAGGCACATGAGAACCTGAGTGAGGAGCTTACAAGGCAAACTGTGACAAAGATAAGGGTTTACATGATAAATTGTGACAGACTAGGAGTCTTCATGAAGTTGAGATAGGCATTGTAAGGGTCTTGATTAGAGTTAGATGATTTCTCTCTGTTACAGGGAGAGAGGCCTGGAAAACTTTTAACCCTTACAGCAGTTTTCTTTTAGAGAGTTTTTATTTCCTGCACAGTCCCCCCTTAGACACAATTGGAGTTATTTGATGTTTCTCCCACAGTGGCAACATGCTGTTAATGTTGTACTATACAAGAGACACTTCCCAAAGGCTAAAGTATGGCATGTCACCACTGGACTCCTGTAGCTGGAGGGCACAGCCACACTATCACAGGGAAATCCTGATAGGTCCACTGTGTTGGGCAGCAATGGAGATTGCACCTGGTGTATCGTGGTCTTCTTGCTTGAGCTTGGCTTGTTTTGCAAGATATTTATATGGCCTTAGGTCACCTCTTCAAATGCTCTTTGAGGTAGAGCTGGACGGAAATTGTTGTTTATTTGTTTCAACAGAACAGAAAAATGCTGATTAGAAAAAAACCTGTTTCTACAAGGCTGAGAATCAGCTGAGCTGCATTCGTGAGGGTTTTTTTTACTCTCCTTGGCTCAAACATGCCTCCTACTGAGGCCAGACTGAATGGTGAATACACTGTCAATGGGACCTGAGTGTGGGCCCCCCTTTTTCCTCCAGTGTCTCTCACAAGAAGATTCCATTGGGTACAGTTGTGTGAGAAGATCTATAATAAGCAATTACAGTAAAACTCCAATTGTCCGGCATACAGTGGTCCGGCACTCCCAATAGTCCGGCACCAACTGGAACCCGGAAGTGCTCCGGCAGCTGCTTCAATAAGTTGTTAGTCAATTACACTACCACCAGCTGGCCATAGTCAGGCAGTTGCCTCTCCTGCCTCTGGCGGGGCTGAAGGTGGATGGGGGGCCACGGGGAACGGCGCGGCGAGGGGTGAACCCTCCGCTGTTTTGCAGGGAGGCAAAACCTGCAAGCCAAGGTGTCAGGGAGGGGGCGAGAGGCAGGCCGCTGCTTCAAGAAGTTATTACTACAGTATAATTGACTAACAACTTCTTGAAGCAGCTGCCTGCCTCTCGCCCCCTCTCTGCCCCCACCGCTTGCAGGCTTTGCCTCCTTGCAAAAGCGCAGGGTTCGGCCCTCGCCGCGCGGTTCCCTGCCCCCCCTCACCCTTACCTGCCTCTGCCAGAGGCAGTAGAGGAAAGAGCGTGTCACCTGTGGATCCAGCCGGCGGTAGTGTAATTGACTAACAACTTCTTGAAGCAGCTGACGGAGCACTTCCGGGTTCCAGTTGGTGCTGGACTATCGCCCGCTGCCCCCCACAGCCCCTCCCACCTGCCCCCGCCAGGGGCAGGAGAGGAAAGATAAATTGCGAGCCTGTCAATTACACTACTGCCTGACTATGGCCAGCTGGTGGTAGTGTAATTGACTAACAACTTATTGAAGCAGCTGCCGGAGCACTTCCGGGTTCCAGTTGGTGCCGGACTATTGGGAGTGCCGGACCACTGTATGCCGGACAATTGGAGTTTTACTGTAATTGCTTATTATAGATCTTCTCAAGGCAGTGCGGGTCCCGGCAGACCCATCACAGCCCCCCCACCAGAGTACCTCCCGATAGTCCAGCATATCTGATAATCCAGCACCACCTGTGTCCCAAAGGTGCAGGATTATTGGAAGTCTACTGAACATTGGTACTTGGTAGTGCTGGCTCGGGCTTGTTCTGAAAGGCTGCAGGCACCATTTGACCCTTTTGTTCTTCACTGTGCACATGTGTACCCAGCAGGGCTAAAGCCAAAACTGCAGCTACATCCATTGCTTAACTTAAGGCTATGTCTAGACTGGAAAAAAAAATTTGGAAAAAGATACATGTAGATGGGGCCAAATTTTGGAAAAAGCTTCTCTTTTGAAAAGTCCCTTTTTCCTTATATAATGAGGAATACAGGGAGGCAGACACAGGGAAAGGGATGGTCAAGGACATGGATGGAGCCCAGAGCCCTTACATGGGGAGATGTGTGCGCAGCAGGGAAAACTTCTTAAAAAACCCTAAAATTTGTGACATTTGACTCTACTCTGCAGGAACAAGGGAGAGGGCGTCTCTCCCAGCATCTCCTTCGGCCCCTGTGTCCCTCTTAAAGGGATATCCCCATGTCTGCTATGGGCAGCATGTTCTGTTATTCATGGCCTCTGGGAATTTAGACCCAGAGCAGCAGGAGGCAGGACTCAGCACCAAACTGACAGAGATACCCAGGGAGGGAAAAGAAACAAAGATGTTAATGCACCAAGTGAGCAGACAGAGCAGGCAGCCTCTCACAAGGCTGAATGAATGTAATTGACATTCATTTTCCCTAAGGAGGATTTCCGGGAAAGTCACAGGGACTGGACATTAACTTATCCATTGACATAGAGGCTCAGGGCCTGTCTATACATGGATCTAACCAAGCAATCCATGATCCAGGAGAAACACAGACAAGCCCAAACTCACCAAGTCCACAAAGGAGTCTGCCTCCTAACACAGCCCTCCCACTGCCAATTCCTGGCAGTTCATAACCACAGGCACTTACCAGATACACCTGGCTTTTCCCTTTCCCTTTCGCTTTCCTTCCCAGAACCTTTTCTCTCTCTTCCCTCAGAGTCTTCAAAAAGAGGCCTCCAATTTTTCCTGAAGAAACAGAAATATATATGAGGGTAAGCCCCATGAGATGTTGGGAGCCCATTTGTCTGTCTTTAAGCCACACAGTCCCAGTTTTATGCAACTCTGTCCCTTCCCACCATTTGTCTAACTAGACTGTCTCCTGCTCAGGCCCAGGACTGTCCCTTACAGGGTGTTGTGCAGGGCCCTGATTCTATTGTGCGTCTATAAGACAAATGACAGACTACTACTGTGTTTCAGCCAATCAGTAACAGCTTGTAACCTCCTCTTCTCCAGTCCTAAGGCAGCTCACTCCCATAGACTGGCCTGCAGCTCCTGCGATCTAAACCAGTGTGTCTCAACTTTTTTTTAAATAATGTACCCCTTAAAAAAAAAGTACTCCCAGTACCTATAGTTTTCAGACACATTTTTTTTTTACCATTGCAACACATTTGTTTAAATAACTGAAT